ATTGAGTAATGCTGTCATTACACAATTAGCATACTACTTTTTTACAAAAGGAGATTTTTTAAGACTACAGAGATGGCTATCAAAGAGATCAATACAACTTACTTAAACATTTTTCTTTCTTTTGATATCCACTTTTATTTTTTATTTATTTTTTATCATATTATTGTTGTACTGGAGGTACATTGTGACATTTACACAAGTTCTTATAGTGTGTTATAGTTAAATTCACCCCTTCCATCATTCTCCTTCATCCGTCCTCTCCCCATTCCTGGAGTAGTTTTAGGAGGTCTCATTTTTCCATTTATACATGGAAAAATACTCATGTACTTATATACATGAGTATATAATTAGGCTTCAATAAATGCACTTGTTCTTGAATCAAATATAAAATCTGTGATTTTATCATTAATTCAAAATAAATTTCTAGCAGTATACAAATTCCCATTCTACTCTGTCAAGAGTGAGTTTGTCTTTTGAAAATCAATGTTAATTTGGTTTGGCAAATGGATATATCAATGCATTTAATTTGTGGTTTTTTACTAAATAGAGACACTGAGTTGTTATTTCTAGCTTTATTACACTCAGTTCCAAATGCTGTTTTTATTATTTCTTCTTTTTATGGACCTCACTGAAATTCTTTTTGTCCTATTACAATTTCTTTGAGATTATAAATTCAAAAATTTTGCAGCCAAGTATAGTGGATCATGCCTGCAATCTCAGCCCTCAGGAGACTGAGGCAGGAGGATGGTAAGTTCAAGACCAACCTGAGCTACATTGTGAGTGTTTTCTATTTTTTAGAGAAGAAAAGAATATTATCTATTATTGAGATATATAGAACAGTTTAGATTTTTTTATTATTGCAAATTTTATCTACTTTTCTATGATTTCATATTAATCCAAACCTCCAAAAGTATTAACTGATGCTTTTGAATTGTACAAACTTCTTATCTTGAAAATAAGAAAATCTATAGAATTTTTTTACAAATAAAAAAATGAGACCTGTTAAAACTATTCTAAGAATGGGGGTAGGGGGAATAAAGAAGAATGAGGTAAATGTCACAGTTTACCCCATACAGTAATAATATGGTAATAAAAAAGAAAATAGATCTTCAATAATTTGTGGTGGTGTTCTTTAATAATCAGTGTTGTTCTTACATTAACCCCTTTGTAAATCATTCCTAACTGCTTTAAACATTTTTTTCATCTGCTTTTTACTCTCTGCAGATCAACTATAGTGTTTTCATTCAGCTATAATGTGACTAATATGGATTTTTTGCTTCTTTGTCATTGACCATTAATGCTTGCTAAACTTCTTGAATGTGTGCATTAATGTATTTCTTAGTTTTAGCATTTTATTTCTCATCATCTCTTAAAATGAGGCAATCATCTCTTAAAATCTCTTTAGCATCATTGTCTTCTTTCCTCTTTTACATGTCTGCATCCACTTGTCTTTGGTGCTTCCTGTTTATTTCCTTTCACTAATTTTTTCTCTGTGCTTTATTAAGGAGATTTTCTATTAACTGATATTATTCATTCATCCTCTCTTGCTTAGGATTCAATATTGAAATTTATGCGATGGAATCTGAAGGTAATTGTAATCTGTGAAAGACATTTGGAAATCAATAGATTCAGATCAAAATGCTTCTTATCTGCTGTCTCACTGTGAGGAGGGGGAGAGAGAAAGAGAGAAGGTGAGTTTGTTTCTGTCGCTATGGCTGGGGTCTTGATTAAGTGATGGTCCCAAGAACTTCTATTCTCAAAGGACTTAATGATAAATGTTTTTTGGATTTTAAGGAACAGACTACCATAAGTAAACAGGTGAATTTATGTGTTCTATTAATGAAAGGGTATGTGAGTAGAAATGTATTTAATCACTGCTGTATCCAGGTGCTCAAATAATAGCGATAGTCTATATTTTTATAGAATTTTTTCTAGTTTCTTTCTTCTGTTCTTTCTTCTCAGTTTCAGACAAGATCTTTTAAATGGTAACAAGGTATTTGGTAAGATCTCTAGATTTATATTCTTCCAGCAAAGCAACACCAATAGCAACAAATGTCCCTTTTTCCCAATATTTGAGTATATGAAGCAGACATGAAGATCACCAATGTAAGTCATGGGCTCATATTGTACCAATAGTAATGATCAGAAGAGTGAGCTCTTTTATCTTTCCCCTGCCACTGATTTATGTATCACCCTTGGAGTCAAACAATAACAAACCAAAGAAAATCAGGGGAAAAAAGAAAAGATGAAACAGTCACTCTTACCTACTTTCTAATCTCGTAAGAAGCAGAATCTAATACAAATGTGGTCCAAATTCTGCTTATAGTCAGGTTGAGTTCAATATGTTATCAATAGAAGTAAGAGATGGTGACAGTAGGAAGGGATCAGTTAAGTATTTCATATATTCTGAATTGAAAAAGAAATGAAAAGGCAAGATAAAAGTGCAGAGAAGAGTGCAGCCAGTTCAGTATGTATTTAGAAGGTGTCCCTGCAAGAAGCCTTCTGCTCTGACAGGGTTCCTTCTATTCAATTCTCCCTTCCACAGCCCTCACTGCTGTGGACTGAAATTGGATGGCATAAGAAGATAACCAAGATGCATCTCTGAAGAATATCAGCACCTAAAAGTTGGGTTCATGAAGACAACTTAAGAACAAAAAGAAAAATCTAAGATTGTGTAGGAACACATAAGTCACAGCAGATAGATTTTGGAGAAATAGATCATGGCCAATAATACAACACATTTTAAAGTAATCTAAATAGAAATGCATACTGGTGACTTTGATGACAGAAGTTTCACTGGAAACTTCAAATTCTGGTTGAAACAATATTGGAATGTAGAAAAAATATGAATCTAGATCATAGAAATGATTAGCTCCAAAAATATTTCCATAAACTTGCATGCAAATGTGACTAAGTTCAGGGGAAATTTTGCTGTGGGGTAAACATGACAGAGAACTCAAATAAGTTGTGAACACAAGAGATATATGATGATCTGAGGTTCTAAAAACATTATTTTATTTGAGAAACTTTCTTGAGAATAGAAGAATTTAGTGAATTTAGTAATAAATAAGCTAGAAAGTAGAAAGTAATGGTTACAGATGTAAAAAGTTTATATGAAGATTAAAATTTGAGATAATATACTCCTAATCATTTCTTTTATCATTATGAAACAGAAATTAGTGTAACATTTCACACATGAGGGGAAGGAGTTGTATATAAGAGCTGAGTTTGGTGAAAACTTAGTACTATAAACCATGTTTAAGTTAAAAAAACAAACAAACATAGAGATCCCAGTTAAAATGAGAAATTATGAGCTAATAGTGTTTCTTAAGTGTGTACCCATAGACTTTTTTCAGATGTGCTCTACATTCTGAGTGCAGGAATCCATGACATGGAGAACAGGATTGTTTCAGAGTTGGGGCTTTAGGTTTTTGTGCTAACATGATGGGGGAAAATTAAATAAAGTAACTCAGTTGAGGAACTGTGGTATTTAGAACCACATTTTTTTTTGTTATTTTTGTTTGGTGGTACTGTGTTTGAACTCAGAGCCTTGTACTTGCTACTCAAGTGCTCTACCACATGAGCCACACCTCCGTTTTTTTTGAGGTAGAGTCTTACTATGGAATCTTGGCCAGCCCAGAATTCATGATTCTACTACCTCAGCCTCCTGAGTACTGAATTACAGCCATGCGTCATCACACCCTGATATAATCGTACAGGATTCTTTAAGAGCTACTAAGAATATCTCAATTTGGAGATTACAATGAAAATTTAAAACCAGCGTCAACCCATTCATTGACAAACTTCCTATAGAATAGCACAATGTTTATCTTTCTTTTGAAAAATAGTGTTCAGCGTATTTTATTATGTAAAAACAAATGCAAACCATTTATCCCCACCTATTTGAAGTATCCCAAACAAAATCTTTATTTTCTTAACATGAAGTTTTCAAGAGATAAATCTTGGTTTTCTACTCCTGGGACTGATACTTTCCAACAATGGAAGAGTCTGTGAATGTACAGTAGGGAGTTTTGTGTCTCATCCACCTAGCAGATAGGATGGCATACTGAAAGGACGACAAGCAAAAAATATGTATCATCAATTAATTCAAAATTAAAAGTAGTAATTACTAATGAATTGCAATAGACCAACTACCTGAAGTTACTTTTCTTGGAGATCAGAAGTCCCAACACTTATAGTAACTGGTTTTCAATCCATTTCATGAATACAGTTAAGAATTTTCATCACATAGTTAACTAGGTTTAAGTCATAAATAAATAGATCAATTAATGGATAGTGAATAAATAAATAAAAAGCTAACATTTTCTATTATGATTGGTTTGGATAAGTGACTCTCTTTTAAAGTTGAGTAGATGAATCAATGACTTCTGGAAGTCTCTCCCAATGTGTAAGAATATTTAAAAATGACTTGTCAGAGGGGATATCCAAGGTTTTTTGGACTTAGATGGTGCTTGCTAGGGAGGCACTCTGCTGCTTGAGTCACGTCTCTAATCCAGTCTGAAGTTCTGATGGAACTAATTCCTGTGGTTCTAATTTCTTTAACTGTGGCTTTTTTGTCTTATCTTCTGATCCTTGCAGATGGAAAGATAACAGAAATGGCATAAAATATGAAGTTAGAAATCCATGCCTGGAGTACTGGGAAAGAGCCAGGAAGTAAGGAGACCCCATGACTACGCAGAGTCTTTTCTAAACTGATACCATTGACCCTTTATGAGGCAGAGGTGACTTTTTTCAATGTCTAGGTATCATCTACAGTGAAATAATGTTCCTACATTTGCACTTTTTAGATAGAAAGGGAAAATGCTGAAACTCCTTGCTTGCCAGTATGATTTATCGTTCTTGCAAATAATCCTAAATTTCCACAGAGTATATCATCCCCCTTTAAAACCTCTTTCTAGTCTCAAATACTGAGGACTTCTTAACGGTGAAAAGTTGCATTTTGGTTTTTGTTTTTACCACACCCATTCTATACTCTAAAATCAATTAAGATGCCTTGACCCAGATCCCTGTGCCCTTTGAAATGCCCTGGTAACCCTTTCACGAATCTCCTTTGTTTTAACTCCATATACCACAGGGTTAAGAGCAGGTGGAAAGAGCAGATAAACATTGGCCAGAAGAATATGAATGTGATGTGGTATGTGGTGGCCAAAGCGGTGTGTGAAAAAAGAGAAGAGGGCTGGTGTATAAGAAATGAGGATGACACAGACATGGGAACCACAGGTTCCTAAGGCCTTGGATCGAGCTTCCTGGGATGAGAGGCGAAGGACAGCTTGGGCAATGAGGGCATAGGAAAGACCAATGCAGAACAAGTCAACCCCAATGACCAACAGTGCGATTGTCAGTCCATATACACGGTTCAGCCTCGTGTCTCCACAGGCCAGCTTCACCACAGCCATGTGCTCACAATATGTGTGTGGAATAACATGGCTTTGGCAGAAGCTCAAACGTCCAATGAGGAAGGGACATGGGAGCATGAGCAGGGAGCCTCGCACCATAGCTACCACCCCGATGCGGACAATGATGGTTTCAGTGAGGATAGTAACATAGCGGAGTGGGTGGCAGATGGCCACATAGCGATCAAAGGCCATGGCTAGCAGCACGGTGGACTCCATCATGCAAAAAGCATGAATGAAGAACATCTGTGCCAGGCAGGCAGAGGCAGAGATATGACCAGCTCCACACCAGAGGATGGCCAGTAGCTTGGGGGCTGTGGAGAGGGAGGCAGCTAAGTCGATGGTTGAGAGCATACACAGGAAAAAGTACACAGGCTTGTGCAGGGCTGGCTCGGTGACAACAACAACAAGGATGGTTATGTTGCCCACAATGGTGGCTGTACCCAGGCAGAACACAGGAAGTGAGAGCCACAGGTGGAATTGTTCCAGACCTGGGATGCCCAGGAGAAAGAAGATAGAAGGATCCAGGTTAGTGTAATTAGGAGATTCCATGGTCTGGCCAAGAGTCCTAAACATCTTCTCTGGTTAGAAGCCCCCACATAGTGTCATGTTGCCTGGAAAGACAACATAGAACAAGAATATACCACTTACTAACTTTAGAATGTTTGGCAAATACCATCATCCATAAAATGTTAATAATAGCTTAGAAGCGAGGCGATAGGGGCAAGAGGGAGGAAAGGGAGGGGGTGGGGGGAAAAGGGGAGTAACGGCCCAATCATTGTATGCACATATGAATAAAGGAAATTTAAAAAAGAAAAAAATGTTAATAGTAATAGCAATATCTATTCACTAGAGTTAAGGGAATTGTATGGGCAAATATTTGTAAAAGGTTTTCACAGTGTATATAGTACTTGTTAAATTAAAAAATATATAAGGAAGGACTCAAATAGTCATTTAAATAAACTACGAATGTCTCCTGGTGAAGGGCTGTCATTTTCAAACAAAGGGACACACTTCATTATTCTGGGAATATACCTGAATACTCACATGCTTATGGAGTATGGGAAAAGATTCTGTGGGACCATCAGTCAAGAACACAAGTTAAAACACAGTTCACTGGCAAAGTTGGGCATCATTTTTCATGTCCTTTAAGTAAGAAGAGGTTCTGATTTGGCATTTAGTTCTTACTAATAAGTATTTATTTTAACTTTAGACTAGTATTTAGACTAGTGTGGCCACCATGTTCCGTTTCTTCTGTTAGTCCCCATGTCTGTGAGAGCAGCAACAAAAATATCAGTAGTTAGCTTTGTTTGCAATATGTTGGGGGCTTTCTGTTATTGTTTAGTCTCTCATATCTCCTTACATTGTAACAAAGTAGCTTCCACTCTTTTTGTTAATCAATAAATATTTTACATATACCTCTCAACTATCTGAAACTCCGTAAGATGCCTCACTTACCCTTAAGTATCCTTTTTCTTTTTTCTTTTATAATGAAATTAGCCCCTTTTTATTTCATTTCACTTCTGAAACAGAAAATTTCAACATTTACCTTCCCTCTCCTCCTTCAATCCTTTATTTTTATTGTGTCTGCAGTGTTTGGTGATTTCAAAGAGATAAATGGTCAGATTCTCATTCTCGCCCCTCCACGATGGCAAGAAGTGACTTTACAAGATCACCTTCACTTGCACCCCAACAGTAATGACACCTCCAAATGTAGTAAGATTTGACCCTATTGTTTTATTTATAATTCCTTTCCCACTCTGCTAGCCCCTAAACGGCCACAATCAACATTTAGAATAGTTAAGCCAGAAGGAATTATACAGAACATGGGGAGCAATGGTAAGGGGAAAAAAGACAGGTGTGGTCATCAGAATCTAAGATGAGAAATCATTTTAGCTGGGAGTCTTCAAAATGGGAATCAGAAGCTCCCCAGTCAGCAGTTCATATCCACTTATTCAAGCTTAGTTATTTAATGTGCATGCTGTATATTACTATCCCTATTCCAGAAAAATATAATACAAAGGCCAGAACAAAAGGACCAAAAGATTTGTGGAGTTCGAGAATAGTGATCAAAGGGAAATAAATTCTTTGCCACAACTCTTTCTCAGTCTATGACATGGTAACAGGAAGGAGGAGTAAACTCTTCTTTTCCTTCATGGACAAGCTTCTCAGTATATATAGTCACTGGAAAAATAAATTCAGAGAAGAAGCTTCTCCAGTTTTAGACCACACAGGTGTTCCTTTGTTACAATGTAAGGAGATATAAGATACTAAATAATAACAGAAAGCCCCCAAAATACTGCAAACAAGAAGAATTATTGACATTTTTGTTGCTGTTCTCACAGACATAGGAACTAACAGAATAAATGGAGCTTGGTGATAAAACTATTCTAATCACAACTAAGAGCCAATAAACTGCATGACTTCAGAGAAGAGCGGGAATAATTGTGATTTCTAACAGGGTACATATGAAGGGTCTTGAACACACTGCTGTGTGAGCGGTTATTTGTGGAACAGCACTATCAGCAGAGATCTAAGTTCCCAATTCATTTGAGCCAGGTGCTTATCACCCCTAAAAAACACATCAAGGTGAAAGTTTGAACTTGATCAAATATGTGACCATTACTGATATGATTTGCACTTTATAGACCTCCACTTAATACCAAGCCAGTGTGTACACCATATCTTGTGCTTGCTTTCATATATTCTTTGAACAGAAGGGACATTTCAGGAGCATAGAATCTTGGAATCTGTAAAGCATTAAAGTGTGGATGTTTAAAAATAATAATAAGGTAGGAATTGGAACATATAAAATGGGAATAAATCTTTGCGGAATCTTTTTGGCACTGTTGGCTTGACCAGGTCATTTTTTTTCTGGAACCTTAGTTTCCCATGTAACATTGAGGAGATAATATTTTGCAAGGTTGTGAGAATTTTTTTAAAAAAAAAAGTACCCATAGAACTGTGAGGTCCACAGAAGGTACATAAAAATTGTTACTTTCTATTACTATCATCTTCATTTTAATGAGACAACAATCGTATTTCCAAAACAGAATTTTCCCTGAAGTTTCATATATGTTGGGCAAACTTGTTGCTAAACAAATATTCTTTTTGATTTTTTATGTGTAACCTTTAGGGTCCCATTAGGAGATTAGAAAATAGCTTCCCTGATTGCTCTCAGCCAAATTAGACACACTTAGTTATGTATTCATGACTGAGATTTGCTTCTTGAGGTAATGAGAGAGAGCGTTCAACAGACAATAGCCCTGAAGTCAGACTGCAGAAGCTGAGGGCTCCACTTACTACATTTCCTCCAAACATTTATTTATGCCACACATGCATACAGCTTTCAGTCTTCTCAGAAAGGTACTCACCCATATCCTGGAGGATGACATTTCTTCCTGCTCTTTATGTCTGTGTCTCTACACTTTATGACTTTTTTTCCTGTAGAAGCCAGTCTAAGCACAGATTACCACATATTACTTGACTAGATTGGCTCCCAATTTGTTTAATATAACCAAGAGTTACTTCCAGGTCCTATAGTCTTTCTTTCTAAAGAAACCCAAGCTTTGCACACACCAGCCCTTTACAAGGCCACACACTTTTATCCCCTTGCTCATGTCCATCATTATTGTTACACCTAACTCCCAGGTCTATAGTCTCATAAATCCCTTGTGGAAATATTTTGTGAGGCTGATAAACTTGTTAAAAGTTTTATTTTATTTTTTAATTGAATACCTTAATAATAAGAGGGTATTTTATTTTGATAATTCTAGAATGCCTACAGTGTACTTTGAACATGTTCCATTCTAGTTTCATTCTCCCTTTCCTCTTCCCTTCTTTTTCAATCAGTATTTGGTGAGTTTCATTCTTCTGTCTTCATACATATATTTATATATATGAATATATTATATGTATTTGTATACATATACATATGTATATGCATGTCTTTATATACATATGTTTATATGTATATTTATATGTATATAAATTTATATATAAATTTATATACATGTATTATATTTCTCCCTCCCCCCTTCTTGTTGATCCTCCCATACAATCTCCCTTTTACATTCATGTCCTATTATGATGATGATGATTATATTGGTAAATTTTTATAATCACTCTCACACTGGAATTTGAACTTGTCCTTCTGATCCAATTACTAACCCCACACTGAATATGACATTAAAGCCATTACTTTAAGTAAGATAAAAGTCCTAACATCACAAGTGGGGGAAGCAAGGATGGGGAAAACTTTTCATGCCTTGAAACTGTGCCACAAACCAAAGGCTATCAGTTTATCTGCACAAGAGCAAAGCTAAACCTGGGGTCCCTCTGTCCACTGTGAGAATTCTAAGGGGAAAAAGTTCAAGGCCAGTTATCATTAGGTTCTACTGACTCCCTTTGCCCAATTTCTTGCTGTTTATTTCTACTGTGTTTATCTCTCTAGGAATACACATTTCTCTTTGGGACTCAGTGAGGAATCATTTCTTATTAGTAATGTCAGGGATTATGTAGAATGCCTCAAACTGTCTTCACGGTGCCTTGCACTTCTCAGGTCTGGGTAGCAACGTATCATTTGTTTCTTCCTTCATTGCCAGCTCTGGAGTTTGCTCCCCTTTGCAGGGGCTCAGAATACAACCAAATAATAAACTCTTGTTTCAGGAAGCTGTTAATTAAAACTCCAAATCAGACCACAGAGAGATATTTGTTTTCATGGTCTTTAAAACTCATTCTCCCTGCTTTGAATCAATTTTCCCACAATCAGTTGCACAGATAGACTTGTCTTGAACACTAAGAAATATCTCCCAGATTCTTTTCCAAGTCCAAACTCACATGACTCCAAGAGAGCAGAAATGAGAAGGAACAGCATGGCAAAAGCGTCTTTGGAAAATCCTAAGAGCATTCATTACTCATCTCTGACCATCCTCAGCTGTCTGAGCACAGGGCTCAGAGGTTGTTATTCTGATGCCATATATCTCATAGCAGCCTGGGAGTTTTGTGGGTTGCACTGGATTTAAAGCTTGCACCATCTAGGGAAATTCCGTATTTCCAAAGAAATCGAGCATTCATTCAAGCTTTTTTCCTCTAGTTGATCAGGTCAAAATGTAGAGTTGGAGCTAGCTGCTTTTGTTTAAAAGGTGGGGAAGGCATAATTGTAGTTTATTCCCTAGAAACTCTTTCTCCCTTTTGTTTTTGCTCTTTTTAATTCCCCACTTCTCAGTACTGGCATCACTCACCTTAAAAGCACCTAATATTTTGGGTCCACGGAGGCCATGAGTGCTGTGGTCACACGATCTGAATCTCTCAGTTTCCAAAGCAGCTCCATCCTTCAGGGATCCTGGGGCATGCTTTTTCTTCCTTTCTTCTCTGTAATTATCCCTGGCTCATTTTGTGGTTTTCTCCTTCTGAGTCTCTACTATGATAAAGAATTTACTGCACGTTTCCATATTCACCACTGTTACACAGCTGTAGTGTGACTGGTTTTGCAAGATGTATTGCCATTTTTTATGTAACCCGTACAAGATATAGCAAGATGGTAATGGCACTCAATAAGAAGTTGTGTCTGTATG